TGGCTGGCATTGATTTTCATCTCAAAAAGCCATTAATATGAATTTCAATTCAGCGCTTTTTGAAGGAAAATTTATTTTTTAACCTAGGCAAACTGTTAATCTGTGTTTGTAGAAATCTGTGTTTGCAAAGTAGGCCTTATTTTATGAAACGTTCTTTCGCTTAAACCGTCCACCGACACAAATTCAACGTTGCCAAATTTATACGATTTATCTTTATAATTGCTATGTATTTTTGATGGAGACTTACTGATGGCTTTGAAAGCTGATTGAGCCTAAGGGAGATTACTCTTCGCTAAAACTACAGCAGCGACTCCTAATCATAAACAATAAGTTATTCTTCCTTAGTGCACGGCAGAAACCAATGTCATTTAAACATTACAGCTAATGTTGTACATTACGCGCATGCGCACTTGTTTGCTCTTGTTAAATTTTTAATGGAATTTAATTCATAATGGACTTTATAATAGAATCTATAATTTAATTTTATCTATAATGGAATTTAATTTGTAATTTGAATTTATAATGAAATTTAATTTATAATGGAATTTATAATGCAGTTTAATTTATAATAGAATTTATAATGGCATTTAATTTGTAATGTAAGTTAATTTAAATTTATAATGTAAATTCTAAGGATATCATAGACCGAGAGTATGAGCAAAGACGAGGTCTTAGAGAGGATGCAAACAAGGAGGAGACTTATACTTAACATTAGGAAGAGGCAGATGGAGTTTCTGGGATACATAATGAGGAAGGAGGGCCTGAAGAATCTGATACTCGCGGGTCGAAAAGAGGGAAAGAGAGACAAGGGGAAACAACGTACGCTTAAGCATGTGGATGACAAAACATGGTCTGGGGGAGGCAGCAGTGGAAGGAACTCGTTGAGAGCTGAAATGGATAGAGGGAGGTGAAGAGCCATGATCGCCTACGTCCTGAAAGGACATGGCACATAAAATGAAATATATAATCTAGTCGATTAGATATTATTAGATTATATGCCCAAAATACATATAAAAAAAAGCAAAATTATCTTTACATTAAAAAATTCCAGAATCTATCTCCAGCTCGTGAGCATGCGTAACTGCATAATAATTTATAACGTAATAAAATAATAACTTATAACGTAAACATTCAAGAGGATGAAACACGTCACACGAAAACTTTCCCACTTTGTCAGACACATTACGAGAAATCTTATTGAAGAAAAGTATGCGGTCTCCGGCAGGATTCGAACCTGCGTTCTCCTGACGTGCTTTGACCTCTCGACTACAGAGTGCGTCGATGAGCAAAGCTGAATAACGCCTTTAAACACAGATTTGTGTCTGACACCGAGGGGAACGCAGGTTCGAATCCTGCCGGAAAGCTCATATTTTTCACTAATATTCAGACAGGCAAAGGAACATAAATCAATATACTATTTAATAAATAAACTAGACGTCTATTCAAATACGAGTAGCCACTAAAATTAACGTTTACGTAAAAGAAATCTGTCGGATTAATAAATAAAAAATGAATTCCTGTTTTCACAAAGTGTTTTGTTTATGTTAGGATACGAAACTGAGCGTGCATATATATATATATATATATATATATATATATATATATATATATATATATATATATATATATATATATATATATATATATATATATATAAAAGCAAGTGTAAATGGATAAAATCCGACAGAATGTAGAAATTTTGAAAAACAAACAAAATCCATAAATGTAGTTAAAATGAAAGAATTGTCGACGTCAGACGTTTCGGTTTTAATAAACCATTTTCAAGACAAAATTCATTAAAATACAAATTCAGTTCAATATGACGAAAACGATGGACATAAAACACAAGTCTTATCCAAGAGTAAAACAGATACATTTATGGATTTTTTTGTTTGTTTTTCAAAATTTCTACATATATATATATATATATATATATATATATATATATATATATATATATATATATATATATATAATGAAAATGGACTAAGCCCGACAATTATTTTAATCTATTTATTATTTGTACGTTATTTTTATAGATACAAATATTTAAGTAAATGGTCTGTTTATAATAAACAGTATTAAAGAACATTTACCTGCCTGAATGTCCGAGGCTACAGGTTTGGTTTCTGTCGGGGATAGGTATTTTCTATGAGATTTCTCTGACATTCAGACCTGTGTTTAATACGGTTAATATTTGTATCTATAAAAATAACGTATAAAGAATATATATATATATATATATATATATATATATATACCTATAGAACAACATTTCCGCCTAGAAAAACACGATTTTAAAACCAAATTCACTATAATTGAGAGAATAGAAAAGTTCAGAGCAGATAACATTGGAAAGATTTTAGAGTTCCATGATAATAAGTGGATACAACGTTTAAAAACGCACTATCCGGCCGGCTTAACCACAAATTTAACAATATAGATAGTATTAATATATAACCCCACAATCAGGACCTGCCCACATTTCTCACCCACACAAGACAGACATGCTTACGGAGGTGTTGAGGTCTCACACTTATACACCCACCCACACGAATATACACACTTACACACATCATACTCACTCACTCCTTAATCAGCCAAATGATAACACGCACCCATAGTAATATACACGCTTACACACATCATACTCACTCACTCCCTAATAACACACACTCGCTTAACAGAGACGCATCCCCTTTCCAGGAACCAATAAAACTGTCAAAATGACCAAGGGAATTCAGAACAGCATGAATGCATCCAGCTATTATCTTAAATAACATCTTAAAAGAGACTGTTTGACCAACACAAGGATTGACCAAAATTCTTGTTAAAAAAATAAAAATAAAAAAAACCAAATGAAAACTACAGACAAAACTTCATTTTCTCCATCAAGACATTCGTTTCTGTAGTTCACTGCTACCAGGAATCAGATTTTTTTTCTCCTGATGATGACTATGTTGGCCGAAACTAGTCGAGGAATCTAAATGAAATAATAATAAAAGCGAAAGATTATTAATATACAATTCAGTGTGTCTGAAGATTTTAATTTTTTAATATTTTTTATTGTTCCAAATATATATATATATATATATATATATATATAATCAAGTTTCTAGTCTTTAGCTTCCTTTTCTTGTTCAGAGAGAAATAGTTTTCTTACCTTTCATTCATTTCCCGAAATGAGTGTGCCTTTATTATTCATCTCATTTTTTGGCTTCTTATTTTACAGCTTCTGATCTTTTTTCTCTTAGTGTTATCGCAATATTTGATTATTGTAATTAACTTTTCATTGCTTAACCTTGTGTGGTCCCATTGCACTTCAATAGAATGCTCAATGGTGAGTCCCCTTCCTTACTCCTTTTCGCATAAGTGATCAACATCATCTCTTGTGTTCCAGGCTTTGTGAACTGCCATCAACTTCCGTATTTAAGCATCCCAATATCTCAGTTCTTTTCTCGACTTAAAGAAAGCTAATGAATATCTCACAAAAATTTCTGAACATGTATATATTCCTTTAATCAAGATTCTTCTTTTCTTTTCCTCTCGACTATTCTTTAATTGTTACTTTCATATAATGCATAATTGAGTCAACCTCAAATATTCCAATATATCTGAAAGTTTAGTTTATCAAAGATTCTGATAATTTCGTTGTGTTGTAGGTTCTTTCACAAATGCGCGTTAAACAAGGGTAAGTCCTCTTCTCTTCAATCAGTTTGAGATGTTATCTTCTGATAAAGAAGAATGCTTTGCTCATAAATTCTCTTCCAATTTTGCTCTCTTCTCATCAGGAGTGTATTTTCCTGATTTTCCTGTTGCAGTTTTTGTGTATATGTGTACTAGTGAGTTAGCCCAAATGACTTGACTCACTTTATAGTCCACCAATAGAAGGTTAACCAATCAGAAGACGTAGAACATTCAATCTGTCGTGTATAAAAGCGGTCATTTTGTCTACTCTACCCGAATGTCCAGTCCAGCTTGTCAGGCGAAGAGAACCAGAAGGACGAACTACGCTCTGCTACTTTTACCAAAATATTCACTGCTAACCTGAACAGCGCTTTCCTACTGTCTTCGAAATATTCACTGTTAACCTCTGGATTCTATACTCGAAGACGACCGTCATCATGGTTCCGACTAGAACCAAGTCTCAAACTGCTGTGTGATATACATATAAATCTGTCCATGATTTCGCTGTCGTCTCCAATATATATATATATATATATATATATATATATATATAATTGGAATGTAGCCTAGTGCTATGTTTCAGTGAAACTAAGTAAAAAGATTTACATATATATATATATATATATATATATATATATATATATATATGTGTGTGTGTGTGTGTGTGTGTGTGTGTGTGTGTGTGAATCTTTATTTAGTTTTACTGAAACATAGCACTAGGCTACATTCCAATTTATCAGCGATAAGCGAAAACTCTACACGGTAACCATTTTTAGAAAATCGTCTTGTGTTTACTTGTCGGTTGTTATTTATGGTATTGGACAGCATTTGGAAGTCGAACAATGGCTGTTCAGAATAAAAAATCTTACACAAGCTCTAACCCTTAGCTGATATGGATGCCAGTCAAAACTGTGGTTTTAATCCATATCTTCCTGGCATCAATGTCAACTGATGCCTTCTTGTTTCCCATATATCTAAACGATTAGTTATAAAATATAATTTTGAAAAGTGAAAATTTCTGTGAAATATCCAACTCTAAGAATTTTTTTTTTTTAGCAGCATATCAATACCTCTATGGGTTATTTAATGCCGAAATTTAAATATTCTTTAAGAATTTTTTTTTAAGTAAACAATGTTTTCGGTGATACAAGTCTTACTGCTTAACCCATTGCTGGAGAGAAAATAAACGGATTCATGACTTTCCTAAGTGTGTTTCCGCGTAAGTAAATATAAAGAACGCAAAGGGAATTGGAACCCGGTTCTCCGATTATCAATTCCGAGCTATTATCCATTACACCGCCTGCACATCCAAGCTTACACCACCTGACATTCGTAAGCGGTCACCCATTTAAGTACTGATCAGGCTCGACGTTGCTTAACTTCGGTGATCGCACAGGAACCAGTGTTTAAATATGATGTGACTGCAAGCCCAAATTTTGATTGAGTCTTCACAACAGATGGAAAAATGTAGGCGTTAGTTTAAAATATCGTTTACATAGTTCAAAATATGTCCCCCTGGCGTTAGTTTAAAATATCGCCTTCTTTGTCTTTCTCTCTATATTTCTATATTATAATAACAAACTAAACTTTTGGAAATGGAAAATTTAATTGAAATATGGTTGAAATATTTTAATATAAAAACAAAAAATATATTAACTTCAAGGAAAATATTTGCTGTATATGGAAAAAAAAAAAGTTTAAACTGATGCTAGGAGTCAAAGAACAAAATAAATCATAGAAATTGTACGGACGATAAGGAGTTCTCCCGAAAAAAAAATAAATATTATTCTCTATATTTTGCATTCAAAAGTTTTATTACCCAAAGCTATTTAAATCATTTGCTTTTTTTTTTTACCTTGATAATTCCATAGTAAAATAAAGGCTCTTGTTATATGACCACGGAAGTTAAGTGACCTTGTGCTATAAATTTACAATAGTTGGAACTAAACGCGATCGCTTCTCTGCTTGATATTCGCAAAAAACAATGATTTTAACAATAAGAAATAATTTCTAATAAACTATATATTTTCCATTCGAAAATACCAATAAAACATCAAAACCAGCATGTTCAGGGTCTTACTTTTCCACCAGGCTCAAATCAGTTACTCCAATAAATGATATGATATACCAAAGATATATCATCTGGAAGCGTTAAAATTGAGAAGATAGAATTCAAATAGTGATCCTATTCGTTTGGTTGTAACTTTTTTTCGATCCGTTTTATATCTTCCATGAAATCATGTTCTTACGATTTATATACTCTTTTCATTGAAAAGCTCCAATAGCAATAGTCATAGTTCACAAGCAATGTTGATAATCTTATCAAGATGGTGGTGGTGGGTTTGTCAACACTCATAACACTTTTCAAATCACCTGCCGATCGTTAATTCTGAAAGTGCATCATTGTCCACTGAAAAGGCAGATAAGTATTTATTTTTAATTAGAGGTCATCCTCTTCAAGTTCGTTTCTGATATTGAGTACTTCTGATCTAACACTCAGAGACGAACTTCAAAACATTCTCTTCATTTTCTTTCACGCTTTTTTCTTCTTTATTTCTTCTTCTTTTTCTTCTTCTTCTTCTTCTTTAATAAAAATTATTATTATTATTATTATTATTCCCCTGTCTTAAATTTCTTTTTACTTTGACCTCTTAATTTTGTCTCTGTTCTTTTCCTCTTTGTTTTTCTTTCCTTCATTTCTTTTTTATATTTCATCACCCTTTTTCTTCTTCTTCTTCTTCTTCTTCTTCTTCTTCTTCTTCTTCTCTTTTTGCTTCTTTTCTTACATTTTCTTCTTCTATTTTCTCTCCCTTCGTCTTCCGATTTTTTCCTTGCAAATGTTCATGTTCTACTTTTGTTTCTTCCTTTTTCTCTACCACCACTTCTTCTTCTTCTTCTTCTTCTTCTTCTTTAATAAGAATTATTATTATTATTATTATTATTATTCCCCTGTCTTAAATTTCTTTTTACTTTGACCTCTTAATTTTGTCTCCGTTCTTTTCCTCTTTGTTTTTCTTTCCTTCATTTCTTTTTTATATTTCATCACCCTTTTTCTTCTTCTTCTTCTTCTTCTTCTTCTTCTTCTTCTTCTTCTTCTTCTTCTCTTTTCGCTTCTTCTTTTCTTTCATTATCTTCTTCCTTTTTCTCTCCCTTCGTCTTCCGATTTTTTCCTTGCAAATGTTCATGTTCTACTTTTCTTCCTTTTTCTCTACCACCACCTTCTTCTTCTTCTTCTTCTTCTTCTACTTCTTCTTCTGTTTTTCATCCCTCAATTTTCTTCCTCTTCTCATCCTGATCTTCTTCTTCTTTTGCTTATTTTCTTTCTTCTTTTCCTGCTTATCCTTTCCTTCTTTATTCGCCTTTCATTTTTTTCTTTTACTTCCTTTTCTTCATCCTTTGTCATTTTCTTCTTATTCTTTCACTGAATACAGATTACAATACTTGTGTTAATTGTACTGATACGTGAATTTACACCAATTGCTATCATATTCAGCTTTACCCCTACAGAAGTTAGTCAAGGAAAGCGAGAAGAAAGGATTCAGCAACAATTGTAAGAAAATAGGTTGTATGATCGTCAGCAAAAGGAACAACAGAAGAGACGAACTACAAATTAGATTAATTAAAATCAAGCAATTACAAAAATTTAAATATATAATAAGTGTTTTAACAGAGGATGGAAATTGCGACACGAAAATTCCAAGTTTTATTGGAGAAGTAAAAAATGCCTTCTAAAAGCTAAGCAAAGTATTGATAAACAGGAAACTTTCGATAAAATCTTACTGGACTGTTATGTAATATCGGTCTTTCTATGTAATAGTGAATGCTGGACAATCTCCTCAAAGATGAAGAAGAGACTTAAAGCAACAAAAATGTAGAAGAAGAATGCTGAGAATACCATAGACCGAACATGTGAGCAAATAAGAAGATTTAGAGAAAATGGAAACAAAAAGGACTTTTATGATTAGAATCAGAAAGAGACAATAGAAATTTCTAGGGCGCATAAGGAGAAAAGAGGGTTTGAAAATTTTAATGCCCTCAGGAAAGATTAAATTTAAGAGGGACAGAAGGAAGTAGAGAATAACTTACTAAATGAGTTTCTTGAAATAGTTGACAGAACAGTTCAGGAGAGATAGCAAAAAGACAAACATTGCTAAGGGCTACAAAGGAAAATATGTCGTGATCGCCAATGTCTTGAAATCAAAATTAAGTTAAATCCACTGATAATATTCAAACTGGAAATGCATTTGTTCATAACTCAATTAGCCTCTTCCTGTAGTTATCTCCCCTTTTATCACTCTTTAAGTTTTAGAGATAATTGTACTTGAATGGCAAAATTCTAATCCGGATGTTTTAAAGCATCGTGATTCAGTCGAGTTTGCTGTTTTCTTTCATCAATTAAATCCTCGATGCTTTCATCTTTTACGATTGTTTATCGATTTTTATTTTGACGCTGTTCCTTTCTTTTCTTTTCTTGTCCGCTCCAAGGTTTCCTCTCCATTTTAAAAAAAAATCTCTACGTTTTACGATCTTCGATATATTGTTTTTTAAGGTTTTTAAATAAATTATTTCCTACATTGAGTTTCATCGATGTTTTCTTCCGTTAAAAGGGCCACTATGATCGAAACACAAGAACGTAATAAGGTAATATTTAAAACGAATGAAAGCGAGGGGAAAGCTAATATAACGCTGTTAATGCATTGCCTGGAGATAAAGAGAGAAGAGACGGACATAAAAAGGGGAGAATGCGCGGTAGGAAGAAAAATACGGTGCGCTTGAAGCGTAAAAAATTTACAATTATTTAGTGAAATTTTCAGGTAAAATGTCAAATGTAATTAATTGTTGTTTAAGGAAAAGTGTCATTTAAATTCATGTTCCTCTTCTGGAAACCCTCCCTCAGTTCTTCGTTTAAATAATTTTATTCGCTTTCTTTGTCTTCTGTTTGTTTATTTCTTGCGATAATTTTTATTTACTATTACTTTCCTCGAAGCCACTAACTGAAAAGAAAATTACGACCTCCTGAATATCTGTTTAAATTTCCTCAAGTTTAAACGTGCATGTAATACAGTTGGATTACAGTAAATGATCATATATATATATACAGATAAACACCTACACAGGGGCCAAAATAAACGGCCTATACATACAGTCTCGTTAAAGGCTCAATATGAACCGCCTCAGGTAAATCAATAAAATCTATCGAATCTTTTATGTACCTAGGAAGTGTAATAAATTCTACTGAAATGGATGTGAAAATTCGCATAGCTAAAGCTTGGGCTGTTTCGAATAAAACGGAATCTGAAATCTGAGCTACCAAACAACCTCAAGCGGAGATTCTTTCGAGCTACTGTAGAGGCGGTGTCAATGAACGCTGCCACTGCCTGGACATTAAGTAATGTTACGGTTTTTTGGGTATATAATACCTATAACTAGTGAGCGAGTCAGAATGACTTATTTCCCTTTATAATCGACCAATGGAAGGTTGACCAATCCAAAGCCGCACAACACTGTATTCGTCGTGTATAAAGGCGGCCATCTTGTTTCGTCTACCGGAAGGACCAAAGGCGACCAGGAGAAGGATGAACTACACTCTGTTGTGATATCCACTGCGAACCTCCACTACGCTTTCCTACTGTCTCCGAAATATTCACTGCCAACCTCTAGATTCTATACTCGAGGACGACCGTCATGAAAATGTCTAACAAGTAAGACTCCAGAGTCTAAGCTTCATGGAACCAACACTTGGATACTGAGTGCTATACTTAACATCTCTTGGAGACAACATTCAACTAAATCACAGCCCTATGGACCTATCGCCGATATTTCTGCAATCTTACGCTTTTCAAGACATTGCTTGCAAGCAAAACCAGAACCATCTAGCGATTTATTGCTTTGGACACCTAGCCATGGAGCAAGACGGGTTGGTCGCCCAGCAACCACCTACACTGGCCAGTTATGATACAGGACTATGACGGTGGGTGTAAGAAAATCATGAATGTCCAAGGAAGCTCGACTGAATAATAATGCAAAAACACATAAATAAAACACTAGAAATGCATATCAATAGTAATATTATATAGTATTTCTGAAATAACTAGAAAAATATTCTTTGTATATTTTGTATGTGTTTTATTTAGCTAACATGTCAGAGTTCAATAATAATTTTTGAAATTACTGAATTTCCGGCTACAGTGATAAATATTTATTTATGTTGATTTTTCTCATTCGTTTTTTCTTTCTCTCCTCCTCCCATCTCTTATCTTTCTCATTCTTTTTCCCGTTCTCTTTCCTCCTCTCACCTATTATCTTTCTCATTCGTTTTCTTCTTCGCTCATCTCTTATCTTTCTCATTCGCTTTCTCCTACTCTTTCTTCCTCTCACCTCTTATCTTCCTCATTCTTTTTCTCTTTCTCTTTCCTTCTCTCACCTCTTATCTTCCTCATTCTTTTTCTCTTTCTCTTTCCTTCTCTCACCTCTTATCTTCCTCATTCTTTTTCTCTTTCTCTTTCTTCCTCTCACCTCTTATCTTCCTCATTCTTTTTCTCTTTCTTTTCCTCCTCTCACCTCTTATCTTCCTCATTCTTTTCTCTTTCTCTTTCCTCCTCTCACCTCTTATCTTCCTCATTCTTTTTCTCTTTCTCTTTCCTCCTCTCACCTCTTATCTTCCTCATTCTTTTTCTCTTTCTCTTTCCTCCTCTCACCTCTTATCTTCCTCATTCTTTTTCTCTTTCTCTTTCCTCCTCTCACCTCTTATCTTCCTCATTCTTTTCTCTTTCTCTTTCCTCCTCTCACCTCTTATCTTCCTCATTCTTTTTCTCTTTCTCTTTCCTCCTCTCACCTCTTATCTTCCTCATTCTTTTCTCTTTCTCTTTCCTTCCTCTCCTCTTATCTTCCTCATTCTTTTCTCTTTCTCTTTCCTCCTCTCACCTCTTATCTTCCTCATTCTTTTCTCTTTCTCTTTCCTCCTCTCACCTCTTATCTTCCTCATTCTTTTTCTCTTTTTCTTTCCTCCTCTCACCTCTTATCTTCCTCATTCTTTTTTTCTCTTTCTCATTTCCTCCTCTCACCTCTTATCTTCCTCATTCTTTTCTCTTTCTCTTTCCTCCTCTCACTTCTTATCTTCCTCATTCTTTTCTCTTTCTCTTTCCTCCTCTCACCTCTTATCTTCCTCATTCTTTTTCTCTTTCTCTTTCCTCCTCTCACCTCTTATCTTCCTCATTCTTTTTTTTCTCTTTCTCTTTTCCTCCTCTCACCTCTTATCTTCCTCATTCTTTTTCTCTTTCTCTTTCCTTCTCTCACCTCTTATCTTCCTCATTCTTTTTCTCTTTTTCTTTCCTTCTCTCACCTCTTATCTTCCTCATTCTTTTTCTCTTTCTCTTTCCTTCTCTCATTCTTATCTTCCTCATTCTTCCTTTTCTCTTTCTTCCTTTCTTTTTTCTCTTTCACCTCTTATCTTCCTCATTCTTTTTCTCTTTCTCTTTCTTCCTCTCACCTCTTATCTTCCTCATTCTTTTTCTCTTTCTCTTTCCTTCTCTCACCTCCTATGTTTATCATTCTCTTTCTCTTTCTCTTTCCTCCTCTTATCGTCTTCCTACGATTTTTTCTGCATCTTCTTTTTCTTTCCTTCCTTTTTATTCTTTTCTTTATTTTATTAGTTTTTTTTCCCTACCTCTCTTATTAAAAAAATGTCAGTCACCAATCGAAAAAGTCATGATCGCCCCATCGCTCAACTTTTTTCTTTTCTTTTTTTAATTATTTCACCCCAAGGAGGACTGGAATGCCACTAGCACGTAGAGGGTTACAGAGAGTGAAAGTGGGAGAAAAGACTGGGTAGATAGTGGGGTATTAAGAAAAAGATGTACGGGTTTCAAGACGACAGATGGCGATTGACGTTACATTTAAATTTTTGAAGATTATAGTTATCAGGGAAACAAATACGCGGAAGGCAATTCCACTCTCAGGAAGTGCGAGAAAATAAGCTGTTGGAGTAGAAGTGGCGGCTACATTTAACTATTTCAACAGTAAAAGGGTAGAACCTAGATGCAGGCTTAAATTACCGTAATCGGAGCACCAGGGGGAAAAAGCTCGTTGTAGCAGTTGCCATGAAAATATTTGTATAAAAGACAGATGGAAGCCACGTCTTGATGATGAGAAAGTGACTGAAGTCGAGATGCCAAATCAGGATCGATTACGTTGCAGATCCTTCATTGGACTTTTTCAGTATCCTCGAAGATCGAGACCGGATATGGCAACAGCATTCAACGCACGAATAGTAGATTTGTAAACATGAAAGATGGACTCTGACGAGAAAAAACTTCTGGCGCGACACAGTGACCTAACTTTCCTAGCAATAGATGCAGCTATTTATTCGATGTAATCGTTCCACTTCAAGTCATTTCAAAAAGTGAGGCCAAGAAGACACAGTGTGTTGCTCTCTAGGAGTCTAGCATCAGCTATGCTGATGACGGCCAGGAATGTTTCTCTATGGTCGTTAAATGAGAGCAGTTCCGTTTTGGGGGAATTAAAATTCACAAGTTATTTCCTGCCCCAGTTAACCACTGAGTGGAGGTCCTTTTCAAGAGCGGCGGCCAAGTTAACTTTTTCAATTCTGACGGATTTCTTATTAAGACAGTAGTGTCATCTTCGGAAATACCTACTTAGAAACTGATGACATCAGGAAGATCATTGATGAAGATCAAAAACAGTACAGGGGCCAGGATAGTTCCTTGTGAGACACCTGCGTCCCTATGAAAGGATCTGGAACCCGTTCAAAACAACTTTCATTTCACTATTTGATAGGAACGATTGGATAAAAATCAAACAATCGTCCTGTAATGCCGTAGCCCTGGAGCTTATGTAGAAGACTTGCGTGCCAAACCCTGTCAAACGCCTTAGAGATATCTGGAGCCATAGCTGGATCTTCGGCGTTCTTATCAATAGTTTGATATATATATATATATATATATATATATATATATATATATATATATATATATATATATATATATTTGGTTGGATAGATGTGAGGTTAGCTCTATCTCTGATATTGAGCGCTTTCTAATAAGTACCGCGCATATATAATATATAAATAATTATACATATATATATTTATTTATATTTATACACTTTTCACACACACACACACACACACACACACACACACACACACACACACACACACATATATATATATATATATTCAGTGATGGCTGTTAAGACATCAGCAGTAGACCTGACGAAACGGAAGCCATATTGTTTGTCAGAAAGTATGTCGTAAGAGGTAAGATGCTTAGCTACTTCAACATTTATTAAAGAGTCGAATATTTTGCCGAAAAGCGGTAAGAGACTAATAGGTTAATAGTTAGACGGATCGGAAGATTTTTCAAAGTTCTTAAAAGCAGGAACTTGGAAGGAGGATTTCCAACAAACTGGAAAGGACGAAGCAACGGAGCAATAATTGTAGAGTTTGGAAAAAATGGAGCCAGCTCAGGGGCGCATTTCTTTAGGGATCCCGTTACTTCCGCTAGCTGGGGTTTTAGAAATAATGCCTGATACCAGTGATAGGGTTACGTGCATATCACTTAGTAAAGCCTCTGCTCTAGTGAGGAAATCAGGTGTGGTTTATTCCAAATGTGTCGAGTGTTCAGTTGGAAGAGAATTTCCAAGCAAAGCATTCAACCTTATCTGCTGTAGATGTCAGGACTTCGAATTGATTGAATAGAAGAGGGATTGAGGATTTGCTGTTGTTCAGCACACTTGCAGAACCGCCAAAAATCCCTAGAAACGATCTTGCGAGATTCTATACGTTGTTTCATTATATCCACAAACAGTAACTTCGTTTCTTTGTGAACACTCTTGCACTCATTACGAACAGAGACAAAGACGTTTGTTGTAATCAGACGTATCGCTCTGGTGCAGCTGGAAGAAGTGATTTATGTTGGCTATAGCGGCCTAGCATTCAGGTGAGAACCAAGGGGACGAAGGCCAGTTAATTTGGTATTTCTTGCTTGGTGCCGTCTTTCCACAGGAGGAGACCTCTGAAGCGCATTTTTTTAACATGATGATTAAAAAATTAATTCCAAAGGACGTCACGAAGGAATCAAAAAACGAGCCCCAATCTGCTCGTTGATAACAGAAAGATATTCTATTGATAGGTGGTTCTTGGGTGATGGGGTTTACAGACGCTACCGCATGACCAGAGTTGCCAAGAGGGCAGAACTGCATAGTATGACATAAGTCAGGGATAGAGGTCAAAAAGAAATCTAGAAGAAAAGCGTGTCCATCAGGGTTTCTGGAGAAATCCGTGGGGAATTCTACCACTTGCGTGAGGGATTGAGTGATTGAGAAGTTCAGAATTTGGATGCCAACGAGGTCAGAGTGTTTAAGCCCCTTGGCATGGTAGGCATTAAAGTCACCGAACAGGAATATGTTTGCAAACGGGTGTAGGGAGATGGCTTTGTCTATATTATCAGAAACACTATCTAGCATGCAACAGACATGAGACAAAGGGGGGTGGTAGAGAAAGAAGAAATATCTGGGTTTAGTAGAGAGAGACGGAGACACATGTAAGAATGGTCTGGAGATTCAAGAGAGATTCCCTAACTAGCAGGATATAAACTACCAAGCCATTCGTGTGGACATTAGTATTCTTCCGAAAGAGAGGATGATGGCCAGGAATTGAGAAATCAGAGGAGGAGTTTCAAGAGTTAAGATGAGTTTCACAGAGAGCTAGGATGTCCGGAGACTTTTCGAAAAGGTACGATTCCACACTATAGAAGTTGGTACGAATACCAGGAATATTGGAGAAAGAAAGGTTGAGGGTTTTAGGTGTTTTTTTATTCAACTGATTTAGTTTCATATTTTTGGTTGCTTATAGTCATGGTGTGTTATTTTAGTGAGGAAATGCCTAGGGTATTAGGTATTAGTTGGTCATTTAATATAACATTTGTGGTAAGGGAACTGGCGAGGACAGCAACATAGTGTGGCCTCGGGGTTGCCCGCCGGAGGTGCTTATATGGACACCTTTCCATACAAGATATGGCACTGCAAGAACCCCGATATTATACAGCCGTTGATCAGAACAGACTCTCAAGACGCAACGCCAGAGTTCGTGCTCCTAACTGCCAGCCAACCAGCTACCGGTATGAAGAGACATTGTAACCATTCACACATATCATGAAAAAAACAGCACCACTATCAAAGTCTGAACTCTTTCAATTCTTGACTGACGAGGAAAAAGATTGCTGTTTCTTTCTGCGGTAGTCTGGTTGCCAACCAAGGCTATAGTATCCAGTCTGCCCTGTTATTCAACTCATAGTTGGGGGGAACGAGACGTGAATTATTTACGCGTAAGTGAATGCTACAAATTCGACTGGAATTCGAAAACGGCTCCCCGAGTTCTCATTCCGAGCCGTTATCCATTACACCACAAATGGCCTCTGTCTCTGTTTCTAAGATGAGGCATTATAAATGTTTACATTGTTCGGACTATTGTCCTCATCTTTATTACCATGTTCATGACGTTTCGGCAGTTGTGCGCTCCGGTCTTCTTCAGGTGATAGGAATTTCTAACTGAACCCTTTATTTCGTCCATCGGGGTAGATTGTACTAGTTCCATGTGCCATGCCTCTTCCAGGTGTCTCAGTTATCTCCCTTTAACTCAAATCTTCAAGTTGTTGTTCACCACTGTAGTATCCATGTATTTAACTCACAACTCTTTTGGGTAAAGTTAGTGGATGCAACCTCGAGGACACATGGCTTAATGGATAAAAGCGTTGGCTAGTGCAGTCGTGAAACCAAAATTTGTAGAGTTGGGTTAAATATAATAAACGACGGGGTTGTAGTCTGGGGAGTTAGATGGCCAGATGTAAGGGGCGATGTGGTCACAGAAATTGTCTTACAGCCATGACTGGACTCTCCTGCGTGTGTAACATGGTGCAGAGTCCTGTTGCCATACATAGGGTCTTCCAGAAGGCACCCTCTTAATCCAGACAGCACTACATCCTCAAGCCACTTAATGTAGGCCTCCGTGTTGAGTCTGAGCCACTTGGGAAGATGAATGACGTCACCATCACTAGTGATCACTCCAAACACCTTCGTAATCACCATTAGACACACCCAAATCGTTCTGAATCCTCTTCACTGTCCTTAGATTGACACCCAAACACTTTGAAATGTTCGTATTGGAACGTCCGGTGCGAATGCCAAGCAGTACAGCATGCCTTTTTCAAATTTCTGGCGGAGTGAATTGCGTTATGGTTCTCTTTTTCTCGCACACGGTACCCAACTGACCCTACTATACTTTGCAACCGACACAGTCAAAAACAAACAACACGCATGGGGCGGAATTAAAAATATAAAATGGCGACAATTTATCCATCGCAAACTTTATAGTAAGCTAAATTAAATGTAACCAACGTGAAGGATATTTCTTCGTTGATACTTGCATGTATGTATGTATGTATGTATGTATGTATGTATGTGTGTGTGTGTGTATGTATGTATGCGTCTTTTTTGCACCTGCCTATATCATTTGCGTAGGTGTGTAAATGTGGAATTTCATCAGAAATGATCATTTTTTGCAAGAATTTTAATCAAACTTCAGAGCGCATTCGCCGCAATAAAAATCGATATAACTTCTTCATTTTTTTTTTTTACTTTAAATTAATACCGTTGAGAGAT